GTCCTTTAATACTCGGAGAAAATGAGAAAATTCTCAGAAGTATTTATCCAATTAATTTAGTGGTACTGGCAACTTGGAATGCACAGTAAAATTGACTTCCTTTTGGGAGATCAAATGGCCCCCTTAATCTTAATAAGACCTTAATTCCATTGATTATTAGCCATTTTCGAGATGTGCCCCTCAAATTCCTTCAACAATCCTAGTCCAACCCATTAGCAATAATAATACTCTCAACCACTAATAGTATAATGAACTAACAGAGTGTCCAGCTTTCACAATGCTAATTTGTTGAGATAAAGGCTAAAGGAGGTGTACTCGAGGGCTGGAGTGCAGCTCAGGGCAGAGTGCTTGCCTACCATGAACAGGCCATGGGTTCGATTCCCCACACTGCAAAAATTAAATACATACAGAAGAGGAGCACTCTGTCAAAATTAATACACCTTTGTAATAGGCAGGATAATGGTACCTCAAAGATATCTGGACCTCAATTCCAACAACCTGTAATTATGGTGCTTCATATGGAAAAAGAGGTTTTGTAGAAGCAATTAAGTTACAGATTTTGAAGTTGGGTATTATTCAAGCAATCCCAGCATAATCATAGGGGATCTTCATAAGGAAAGAAGGAAGCAGAGGGGTCACAGGAGGTGTGGCGGGGAGCAGAGGCCAGAATGAGGCCAGCCTCCAGAGGGTGGGAAAGGCTCTCAATCTCCAGCACCACAGTGGCAAAGCAATCCTGTAGTCCTCAAGTCAGAAAGTGTGTGGCAATTCAAAGTAGTGGAAACAGGAAACTAAGGCAGTTTTGTTTCATTTGTGTAAGGTAATGATCTGTACGTACAGTAAACTTCTTTGGGGAAAAGCCATTATTAAAATCATCTAATGTTCCTACACTTTGTGAAGTCACTTTTTCTGTCTAGAATTCTTGGGCAAGGCAGAAAGGTTTAGTGACATAGTTCATGTGACTCCTCAGTAGTCCTAAATAACATACCTTCTTTTTTCTATTTATACTTCAAATTTCTGGGCCCTTTAGCATAGGTAGCAAAGTATCTTTTTGAGTGAAAAGTAAGATACTTTTTTTCTTAAAAGAAAGACTTTTTAAGCTATAGTTGAATTTCTTTTCTTTTAAAATAAATTCTTATTTTTAAAAAAATATCATAATGAAGTTGGAGAATAACAATGGTTAATATATTATCATTTTCTCAAAGTAGGTCTCAGATGATAGATTCTCTCTTACAAAGAAAAAACAAACAGAAAACAGCATGTATTTGAGCTGTAAAAGGCTCAAGTCAACAACTTCGGACATTGCCAGTCTTATGTATAACCCACTACTATTATGGACTACTGGACTATATTGGATTATTTTGCTGAATTCACACACCTACAATATTTAAATGGCAATGGAATACCCATCTCTGACAAAACTAAACACAAAAGGGGGGTACAAATGAAGGACCAGTTTTTATCTGTATATACAAAATAGTATAGATATACAGCTACTTTCTCTTAATTCAATAAGAAGAAAGATTTGTACAAATAGTGTTTGGACAGGATATCATGTCTGCATCTGGTACTATGAATAACTACTACAAAGACAACAATAGGCAATGTATTACTTATAGAAACTGTCCTATTAATCGGTTTTGAAACTGTCTCATTGCTATTCGTTTCTCAATAAAATTAATAATAAAATAAAATAAATTGAGTTTCTGAACCTTAGACCTTCAGATCTTACTCATTTTGCTCAGGTGAAACTTTCCATTTTTGATCCAGGGTTTCCCTAAGCCTTCCCTTCAGCCGCTGGCAAACAAGAACTGCACTCTCTGCTTATGTAAGTCGGACTATTTGGGATTCTCCATAACCTAAGTAAGATCATGCAGTATTTGTGATTCTGTGTCTAGCTTGTTTCACTTAGCAAAAGGTCACTGCTACATATGCCAAATGAAAAATAACATATGATTATACACAGCATGATATATCAGAAATAGGACTGATGTGGGAACAATGGCACGCTGCTGTATGGCACATTTCAAACTTGCTAAGAGGGCAGGTCTTTAGAATTTCACTAAGAAGGCAGTTATTGTTCCAAAGAGAAAACAGGAATTATGTGAGCTTGCCTGTGCTGGTTATTTCATAATATACACAAATATAAAAACATTTTGTTGCTCACCTTAAATACACCCAATTTTTTTCAGCTACATTCCACTAAAGCTATAAAATGAAACTTTTGTGCTAATGATTTAAAATCTGAGTTTTACCTCAGGAGTGAAGCTATTGCTTATGCTTAAGTGTTTATCTGAAATGAATGAAATACATCTGGGAAAAGTTGTAAGGAGATATGTTTTGATATGTGACCAATTATGTCAAAACAAAGTATGGATGTGCATATATGATAAAAAAATACTACACTAAATTGAATGAATTGGGAATCAGCCATTATTTTGGTCAGATTATGTGTTAAGATTGTAAAGATTCTTCATGCTATTCTAAGTGGGCCAAGATGCCACTGGAAATACAAACTACAGAAATTACCAGTTGAATCCGTCTGGGTACCACATTCTTCCATTAGTTATTGTCTGCAAAGCCTAAGCTCTTTATTATATGGTATTTTACTAAAAATGTTCACCAACTTCTGATTTAAAGAAAATATTGGAAAAGAACTAGACATTGAAAAAACAGGGGCCGGGGAGATGGCTCAGTGGAATAAGTGCTTCCTTGGCAAGCGCAAGGGCCTGAGTTCAATACCAGGTTCCGCCAAAAAAAACAAAACAAAACAAAAAAACAAAACAGAGAGTCCTGAAGCAAATTCATGTTTTATGTGAAATTAGGAGATATTTGAAACCAGAGTGAGGCCATGATGTATGGACGGATAGTTGTATCAGTTTACTATCCAATGAAAAGCCTAAAACTAGAATTCCATGTCATGCCTTCCACACACACGAAATGTTAAGAAAAAAACCTCAAAAGCTGTAAAAAAATAGAGACCATTGTCAGGATGTTAGAAGAGGGCACATCTTTTTGCTTTGACATTGAAATTAAATACTTTTATAGCATAAAAGGCAATAAATAAGGTTACAAAAATGGTTACATTCTATATAACAGACAAATGAATAAGATATAAGAAGTTCCTACAAATCATTTTTATGAAGTGGCAATGGATATGAATAGGCAATTTTCAAGGAAAAAACAGTCACTGCCTCCGCTTAGAAGTAACTGGGGAAATGCAAATTAAAACGACGAGAGATCAGCTTTTCAGCCATCACACAGGCGCAGTGATAAAACGCCAGGTGATATTAGTCATTGGCGAAGACACAGAAAAAGGACTCTTGAAGCACAGCCAAGTGCAAATGTGGTTCCGGATAGCTTCAGTACCATAATTTCTGTTGTATGTGTCTTTACTGAGGACAGTCCACAGCAGGCATACAAAGGAACACTTATGAAAGTGCAGGCGGTCACGGTGTTGGTAATGACAAATGACAACCTCTATGTCTATCACAAGGAGCTTGGTGAGATAAATTATGGCTACTCCACACATACAACATTTTGCTGCTGTTCAGAACGATGCAGAAAATCAATATAGATTCACAGGGAATGATCTTCAAATATCCGTCAGTAAGGGAATTAAAAATCAACTCTTAGAATGGAATTTACCATTGTGGTTATGGTGAGAAATACTTATTTCAACAATTCACTCTAGAATGCTGTGACATTGACATTTAGCAATGTAATTTACGTATCATGGTGATCTGGAAAAAAGACACTCGTGGAAAAATGCTCTTAGTACTACAGTAGTTCCTCACTGTTTCATAGCTCGACTTTTGTGGACTCACTGTTTTTCAGATTTTCAAATAATATTAATCTAAATTATTTATCATGGATTTTTCACTATATTGTGGGATTTTGCAGAACCGTACACCATATGTACTTGTTAAAATTATATAAGTTTATGAGTTTAGAAAATGGTTAAGAAAATTATTAGTGTTTTTAAACCGAGGTAATTTTTTTTTTTTTTTTTTTTTTTGGAACTGGGTATTGAACTCAGGCCCTTGTGCTTGCCAGGCAAGCACTTATTCTACTGAGCCACCTCCCCAGCCCAAGAAGTGTTTTTAAAAGGGTGGAAAAAGTTTATAAGAGTGTGGGAAGGGTTTATGAAGCCTTAAATATATATACAAATGCTAAAATAAATACAATGCTGCTACTTTGCTGATTTTCACTTATCGCAGGGGTATATGGGATGTAACCTCCATGATAAGTGGAGGGCACCTGCATACAATTTAAGAATTGAAAAAAATGTACATAAACATACGTACCTACAATGTACAAGGAAAGTGACTAAAATGTTCTGCATTAAAGTTTTGCAAATAACCTTTATGTTGGGAAACTATGTCTAGGAGCATCAGGGATTTTTTTCTTTCCACTTGTAGAACCTGATCTTCAGTAATGCATATATGAGTTACATGTCATTCATACAGTAAAAGATATTTAAAAGAAATGCCTATTAGAGTCATATTTAAAGGTATTTTGAGGCTGAGCTTTTTTCTGTGCTTTTCCTTAGAAAATAAAGAAATCTTTTTTTTTTAAGTTCCAGGAAATATTATAAGCTTTAAAAAGATATCTAAGCGAAATTGAATACTACATGTCTTAAATTCTAAGACATTCATTGTAATGTACATCATTAATTTAATAACAGCTTTTCAGAAAGAAAACAGGACATACAATTCCATTGTGTATAAAGTGACTGTAAGATGGATTTCAACCTCACAAATGTTTTTGATAAAGCCAATTATAATGAGTGTCACATTTTGCAGAATATGGAAATGCAGGTAAGTGAGACGGCAAGCTGATTCTGCTCTCTTGATGCATAACACACACAAACTCGCAAATCATCGAGAACCAGATTGACGTGACTCTGGTAGGGACATTTATTCAGCAAAAGACAGCCTAGTGTGAACCCATGCAGATGCCTACGTGGGTACAGCGTGTCCCCTGTGCAGCCCAAAGCTCACCTTATTGGGAAACGGAAATTTGCTTGGTTCCACTTTGCCTGGTGCTTGAATAGCAGAAAGTGGTGGAAGCCAGGTCATCTCCTGTGGGCGAAAGAGGGAAGATAAATACAGACAATAGTATGATACAGAGAAGACACAGGCTCAGTACTGGTAGGCCGGCTCCACATGCATGCTTAGATGAGGTCAGAAAAGAATGGGTAAGGAATAAAATGATGTGAAACCCACTTTTATGTTTTCTTAACTTGACTTTGACCCATTCTCGATGGCATGGCTACTGCCAGGCTCTTTTTACAGATGAAAAAAGAAAAGACTGCTCTATTTTCACTCCATTTAAACCTCTGAGTAAAGCAACAGCCTACTAGTAAAAGTTCTGTGGAAAGTACAGCACAAAGGAGGCGTGGACTGGATTCCAGGGAATTCACAGGCGCCTCTGAAGGAATGTATGGGGGGCTTTAATTTTAAGGGCCTTTATCGAATGACTTAGGTATCACATTAGAGATAAACAGTGAGTTTCCAGAAAGTTCCACACATCACTTTGGCCTTCACAGCAATGCCATTCATGGAAAACTGCAAAAACATACCATGTGCATGAGAAAAGAGAACGATGTCAATTTTTATAAGCCAGTATCGACAGTATAACTTGAGTGTTGGGGTGTGGAAAAAGGATTTCATTTGATAATGAAAGGATGGTCTCTTGCCTGCTTTACTGAGTTCCTGTTCTCCCCAGAGCCACAGAGAGATGAAAGAGGGACAAGTATGCCCAAGGTCACCCTGGGAGGTGACATCTTCTCTCCCCATCATGACACACATGCTTCAGGCAGCAGGAGAGCTAAGCATGTAGCTTTCAAAGTGTCCCTTCTCTCCTCCGCAGTCACTGGGGCTTTCCATGGAGAGCAAAGGACGATCCAGCAACTCTCTGCATCCTTTTCTCCTCAACCTCTTGGCTCCCAAATATCTACCAGCGCCTTCTTGCTCAAGAAGTTATTCAGCACAGCTGCCACACTGTGTGCAGAACAGAATCTGACTCTGTCCAGGAAGCTAAGGTCTTGCTCACTCAGGAAAGTGTGCCATGTTGTCCAGGAACTGGGCACATCTTACCTAGACCTCTGTTACCCAGAAAGCTTTGAGGACAGCATGAGTTTTTCTCCATTCCCAACTTTGTCCTTCCTAATGCTCTGCTGTCCTTTGCACCCTTTCTTCTCTTTCCACTATAAAGTTTCTGATTTTTCTCTACCATTTAAACTACTGGCTAGGATAGGTGTGTGTTTGCTGTAAGCAGCCTTAAATCTCTGCAGAGAAACTTAATCAATTGTAAACATTTGAGCCTATTTTTCTCCCCCATCTTCCCACCATGGGGACTGTTTGATGTGTTCCCAAGGCCATTCCCCTTATCATCAGCCACTCAGTAGCTTCCTTTACAATTATTCTTGGGCCACCACAACTTAGATTCTGTATTCCTTAGGGTCCAAAACTGATAAATATAAACTAACTACTCGAGATTAAACATTGGACTTGCAACACAACCCCAGTCTGTCTGTAGCAACTCTGTACAAGTTTATTTGATGATTCTATTTGCATATCAGCATGCCATATGCATATGTTCATTTCCTGTCTGGCTATTCTTTTTTATTTTTTATGTATTTAGTACAGGGTCCACAAGACACAGGGTCCACAGGGTCTTACTACACAGATCGGACTTGTAGTGATTCTCCTGTTTTTAGCCTCCCAAGCACTGGGATTACAAGCATGTGCCACCACGCCCAGTCTCAACTGGGCCCCAGAGGTGCCCCAGGGGTGGGGCCAGCATGGCACACGGGGGATCGAACCCCTGCCGCTGCGCTCCGCCTAAGCAGGCACTCTAATCCACTGTGCTATTTGACTGACCCTTTTATTTTTTATTTTATTTTTTTGTGGCCAGATGAACCCACCCTGGGGGTGGAGCTGGTATGGCTTGTGGTGCTGGAGATTGAACTGCGGTCCCTGTGCTTTGCCTAAGCAAGCGCTTTAGACTGCTGAGCTATCTATCTCACTGGCCCCTGTCTGGCTATGCTAACAATCCCCAAACAATGAACTATTTCTGCATGTTCTCCAGCTACTCAGGAATAAAGGAAATGACAAGTTCATTCAAACACAGATGACCATCCCATGAGCTACACACCAGCCCCACAATCGGACTGTCACTTCGATCTCTGTGCTTTGAGTTTTGAAGAACCCAAAATCCTGGCTCCTCCCAGTCCACTATGACACACCTCATGCCACGTGTCTCCAAGCCGTTTCTCTCCACTAGAACACTATCACACTACATTGTACTTGAGGTCTAATTCCCAGCACTGACCACCCAATGCTCACCAAGAGCCTCCCGCTGCAGGGAGTCACTCTTAGGTCCACTGTAAAGTCCCTGAAAATCCCCAATTTGGGGACAGGCTCTCACTCTGGCTTCTGGGATTTTACACCCGGGCCGCTGAGGAACAGAGTTGTGCCTGATGGTGAAGGTATAGATTTGCAAGTGCAATTTTCCTGAGTTTGGACACTTCAAGTGGGCAGGGCAACGATGGCAAAACTTCTGGAGACCAAGTGTGCAGACTACCATCCCAAGCCCACTTATTTACTGCAAAATGTCAATATGGCAATAAAGCTGGATGTCTGCTGCTCAGCTGCTGGGACACTGGCTCCTGTGCCAATGGAGAGTGCTTTGCATGCCCGTGGCAGCACGAGTGCTGCAAGTCTACCACCACCAGGCTGGAGCAATCCTTTCACTTGCGTCTAGAATGTCTCTGTTTTTAAATTCCTCAAATAGTATTCCTGCATTTTGTGACTGTTCATGAGACCCACTTGGGTCCTCATCTTTGTTAAGTCTTTTTTTTTCTTTTTCCTGGTGGTGCAGTAGAGAAGCAGAAGTAAAACAAAGGGGAGGAAAGGCCTTTATTGCCATTGAGGAGGACATGAACAGGATCGATGGGAGAGAGATGGGGGATCCTCTGACCTGAGACAGTGGAAGGCTGAGACTTCATGGACTTTTCCTAGGGGTGGAGTTTGAGGGGCAGGTTCAGTGACACCCAAGGAGCTGATTGGGGCTCCCTTGTGGCCCAGAAAAGGTGAAAGGAAATTGTGTCCAGGACTGGGGTTGAAGGAGAAGGTGAGCTCTGGGAAGATAAACTGTTGATGTTGATATTGATCAGCCATGTTAGATGAGCACCATAGTAATTCATCAACTTATACTCAGGCTGGAACCTATCAATCTGCTCACAACAGGTGATCTTACCTCTAAAGTCACTGAAAAATATTGGGACTTATGGATCTCAGTGTTCTTCAAGGAAAAATTTATTGTTCTTCACGGCCTTCATGACCAACCCATTTGCTGCTCTCTGGCCAGACTAAAGTCCCAGGTACCACCCTCCTTGACTGTTTCCCTGCCCTGGGATCTAGGTCCATCAACATCCCACAGGTTTGCTTTCAACTCCAGTCTTCTCTTGGTTACCAGCTTCTTCTGGAAAGGTGGACAGTCAAGATCTCCAGTCCTTCCTGTCCTTTATCCCTCCTTTGCTTATTCTTTATTTTTGTATTTCAGGTAACATCTAGTGTCTTCAAAGGACCTTTTATTCTTGCTGTTTTGACACCATTCCTCCTAAAACAACTCTCTTTTCCTCCCTCTTTTTCTCTCCCTCCCACCCTCCCTCTCTTTATCTTGACTTATCAATCGAAACTGTTGAAGACAACATATGGGAGACACTGAAAGCCACAGGCAAGGCACAAACTTCCTGAACAGAGCTCCAACAGCACAGGAAAGAACATAGGGAATCAACAAATGGCACTGCATCAAATTAAAAAGCTTTTGTTTTTTAATGTTCTGTGTTCTCTCTTCTTACCGCCTTTCCTTCCCCTGGGTGATCTTGCTCATCACTGTGGTTTTGAAACTCATCTAGTACTTGCACAGTGCTCCCATGTGCCCACTCTTGGTGCCTACTGAACCTTTCCACGTGCTGTTCTATAGTCAATTCAAACTTACCGTGTTAATTTAAAACTGATCATTTCCTCCCCACATTTAAAACTCATCATCTCCTTCCCACAAAAGTGTCCTTTTGTATTCTAGGTCCTGGTTAAGGGCACCACTGTCTATTAACTCTCCTACTTAGAATTTTGGAGTCATCCTAGATTTCTCTTCTAGCATTTCCCTCCTCATGATAGCAGTAATTCAAATTTAATAAGTATTTAAAATATAAAACATGGTCCACAATTTATTTAACATCATTTACCACCAACCCCAAAAGATAGGGCATTACTTCTTCATTTTATAGAAGAAGAAACCAGGTTACTAAGATGAGATTTACTGCTCTGCACAAGCCGGAACCTCTCCTGACTTCTTCTTGTGTATGAAGCTGTTTTCTGTACTGTCAATTCTCCTTTCCTATGAAGTCTTCATGGGCCAAACCACGGTTTCATCCAGCCTTTCTCTGTGCCCTATACACATCTTTTTTTTCCTTTTTCGTTTCTTTGGCAGAACCGGGGATTGAACTCAGGCCCTTGTGCTTGCCAGGGAAGTGCTTATTCCACTGAGCCATCTCCCCAGCCCCCCATACATATGTTGATGAGGATATCTGTCCCCTGACTTGGACGGGGTCTTTCAAAGGTGGAGACACTGTAACCTGGCTGGATTCCAAGAACCTAGGACTGAGCCTGGGACAGCATGTGTGCTCAGGACCTTTCTGAATGAATGCCAAAGTGCACAGAATCTCTGCGACGATTCTACCTTTTCTTCTTTTCTGTTACCTGAATGACCACCCTAATCACACTGCCATGGCCTCTAACCTGATTCATGGCTTCCTGGTATGTTCTCTTTCCTCGGTTTCCATGCAGTCCTCCACATTACTGCCAAATGAGTTTTCTAAGGAGCAGGTCTAACCAAAGAATTTCACTGCCCTGAGTCTTTGTAGAACATCATCATAACCACAGCAGCAGTAATGACAATCACCATCAGAGACAGGGAGGATGAGGCCTGCTGTATGTTACTGTTTTCAGAATACTGCCTTGCAAAACCTTCCATCTATGCCCAGCATTTAAGGTAATAATTATCATCTTGATAT